GGTAGCTACCAAGAACAGTAATGCGTGGAAGATCTCTCTTCGGATATGTATGCGTGTGATTTTGTCGAGCATCCGGGATCGGCGCCGGCGCTCCGATCCAATGCGACAGATGTTCGGCCAGCTATTTCTGTTTCAGCATTGCGCTCCATGTCATCTTATTTCTTGGTATAGTGTTTCAGAGACGGCGTTGTTGTCGGATGTCGTCGGACAACAGCAAGATCTCTGCTGCCGAGTCGAGATCGCATGGATCGAGGGCGAAGCATTGCATATGAATGTGGCTGGACTGGAGACTGCTCGAGAAGTTCGATCGAAGGCGAAAAAAAAATGATTCGGGCTCATACACCAGGGGTCCAGTACGAGGGAGGGACGAAAGTCATCTGATCGATGCTCCTCGGGGTTCCCTTGTGTCGAGAAAACTTCATTTCAGAAAATCATCAGGAACGGTTACGGCGGCGTATGATGGAGCGAGTAACAGTTGACTTGCGCGCGCGCGGGAACTCACCCCACCGAATCATCTGGAAAAGTGGGTGGAGGGCACGCCCGTTCCCTCTCGTCCTGACCTATGAGCCTGCAGGAAGGATCGAAGTCCGTGTTCGGCGAAAGAGACCCAGCTCTACTTACTCGCTCGGTGCCGCCAGCGAGCCACTCAGTCAGCCAAGCAGTCGGTCGCCCGACGAACTAAGCAGTCAGCTTTACGGAACACTGAACGCACTTGCCGACGAGGAAGGAATTCCTCTCCGGCACTAGTCGGCCATAAAATACGCATTCGGAAACGTAGTGCCGAACCATGAGTTGGAGGCACAGCAGCGTTCTATCAGGGCTCGGAGTCAATTTTCTTCTCTTGTGTGCGGGCTCGTTCTCCTCTCCGAGTGCGTCCATCTTCCGCGGCTTCCTTCCCCCCATTCCGGAGGCCTCGATCGTCCTCCGGAATTTATTTCCCGTCTGCATCCCGCTCCGGAATACTCCTTCACCATCAAAACCCCTAGCTCGGTCGGTTTACGTATCCTCCGCCTGTTTTTACCCAATACGTAACCGGCTAAAACGTGTGACGGTCTCTCCGGGGATAGAATAATATCGGCTTTTATGCGGGGCCGCGTGCGCCGATGAAACACGAGGACAGAGGAAAAACAGTCGAACATGTTTCTTAGTAGCGTCTGTTGTATTGGTGCGTGTGGGGGTGTGTGTCCATGGCACGTGTTAGCTATCGTCTTGAACAGAGCGGGGCGCTCCTCGTGGGGCAGGAGGCGCCCCGGTTCGAGTGTTCCTCACTCCCAACCTCATCTCCATACTCCCTTTGGGACGAGGAAGAGACCGCGATCCTAATTTCATTACGGCTTATTCCATTCTTTGTCTCCCCGCTCCTTCGTTCGGCCTCTTACGAGCCGCAGCAGCTGACCTCCAATAATACTTCAGGCTATCAACTTCTCAAAACTAAATTCTCTCTAACCAGATTCCATATCGAGCAAGCTCCGAGTATCCAGCGGAGGGAAAAGTCCCGAAGTTTCCTTATCCTGTCGGGCTCGCTGCGAGGAGTCCCCGCGAGGAGTATCGGAAATATCGCGGAGATTCGAATAGGATCTGAAACCGAAAGATTCGTCGCGCTGCGAAACACAGTGTCGGAGTGGGGTGGAGAAATCTCGACTGACATCACGATGCAATCGAAGTCGATCCGCGCTGCACTACGGGACTTTCACATCCGATGATGAGGTCAGGCGATGAGTTCGAGTCGACGCGAAACGAATCCGTGCGACGAGAGAACCCGATCTGAATCCAATCAGTGATCGGCGTGTCCCTCTCGACGACACCGATAAAGTGTCCTGTTGAACTCGTCCGCGCTCGTAAGTAATTAATTTCTCGATTATCCCGCGATCGATCATCTCTCCCGGAGCTCAGCCATCGTCTCGATCGCCTCAGCGTTTACAACCGGATATCCATCGGGGCGCTTGTTGAAACTGTAAGTCGTGGTCGGCGGGGTTTCGATAGAAGTCGCTGCTCGAATGAATTGATTTCCCTCCGGATCGGGAGTTTCATTCGAAATTTTCAATGGAGGAAACCGACGGAGAAAAACAAAGCTCGCGTAATCATTGAGCTGGCGCGTATGGCCGTGACAGATCTTCACAAGATCGTGCCGTGGAGAATTGTGTCCGTTTCATTAGAAGCGTCTGTCGCAGACGACGGAGAGAGGTCGTCCTGCAGGCTGACGGCTGCAGCAGGACGCAGGTAGGACTCAGGAAGGCAGGCATGTGAGCAGCAGGTAGCTGGCATCGTCGTCGGGGGCTTCCAAGGAACGAGTTTGTATTTCGCAGAAGCATTCGACTGGAAGTGCGGCTCTGGAGGTGACGCGCATAGATTTGAAACTTTCGCGTCAGTTCACACCAACTCGGAGCAGCCATCCACCCGGTCGGTCCTTCCGATAGCTGCGACTCGTTCTCGAGCCGCAGTTACGTCAATCGAAATCGTACGTGAGGAACCGGAGGGAAGCCTTTCGGTAACGTCACCTCTCAATCGTAGCAGGAAGCCTTCTGTTTTCTGAAAACGCAGTCATTCTGCAGCCTGTCGTGCGCGATCCATCAGGGAATTCTCTCATCGTGATGACGCTCGGGTAAACTTGTGAAACAGCTCAGCGGGACGATTGTTTGTGAACGGCGCGCGCCGTTCCAACGAAGGGCGTATCTGATTGTCACGTTTTTCGGCGTGAACAAGCCCGCACGCTCATGTACTTTTGCGCCGGACGTGCCTCGAGTTTGCCCATCATGCCTCGTCGCTTCTGGTCGAGCCTTTGTCTATATTCCGGTCAGAGAATCCCTCATCAAATGGGCCTACGCGACCCGATATCCCACGACGTAGGGCTCTCGTCCCCATTCGTTCGTTCGAAGGATTGGAAGCCGGGCAAACGACGCGAATTGAGCATTTCTCGTTCGGGATGAGTCCGCACACAACAGACGCTCGATTCCCCGATCGATCGAGTGCCTGACCCATGAGACGCGTTGTTTCTTCCCCCTTACGGCTAAAGCGCTCCGGGCCGCCCTCGGCCGGACGAGGAACACCCACGAGGTGATCCATCGTACATTTGCGGGAAAATTCGATTCCGGAGAACGGAGCCACGTCGGTGTCACTCGAAGTCTGTGTTCATCAACCTCTGCGCGCGGCTTGAATTTTATTGTCAGCCCGCCGCCGGTGGGAAAATCCACGATTCTTGCACCGAGTGTAAAAATCATCTTTCCGTAATAGTGGGGTGTAGTTTTTGTTCTGCCGATCCAGCCCGCACTCCGTGAGCGTTGGGGAAAAACAGACCCGTCGTGCGTCGAGTGAGATTGGAACCCTTCTGAAGAGAGCAATAATAATCATCCGGATTGGAGCGGGGCCGGCAACACGCGCAGCAAGGGAGAATGGACGTCACAGTTTATGCTAAGCTGTAAAATCCTTCTTTCGATGGCCTTCTGTCGCTCTTCCAGAGGAGGGGACGATTGCAAGACCGGCCCAGTGGGGGATCCACACGGCGAGGGAACAGGACGATGGTGAGACCGTGTAATGTATTCATCTCCATCCGGCTTCCCCTCGGCCATTCTGTTAGCGGGAACCCTCGAGCGAGTGCGGTATTGCTCGCTATTCCCGCTTGAACGTCTTCTCTCATCTGCATTCCTTAATGGCTTCCTGTCTGTGTTGATTTCGCTCAGGTTCTAGGGAAAGTAAACGTCGCTTAAGCGAGCAGAAGTCTCCTCATAGACGGTGAACGATTATTTTAGATTACCATTGCTTCTTCCCCGGAGAGGGATCCACGCTTTAGGTATATCCGCCGGCGACGCCCCCGGTACGGCTCGCGAAGAGATTATCCGGCGAAGCTGGGAATCGAGCTCGAAGCGTAGCGTTGATTGGCGGATTTCCAGGAAAAACAGAGATTCCGGGGCATGAAGGTTCAACGATTGGCGTAAACCTCGGCGCCGTCACGCCTGAGCTCCAAAGGAGCTTTTCGGTATTTCGAAAGGCACTCGTATTCCTGATGCACCCTCCTTGGAGACCTTTTGTAAAAACGATCATCTGCTGATCTTCTCCTCTCGAACGCGGCTCGTATATCATCCCTGAAGGATATCACCTGATTTCGTATGCAAAGCGTTTCATGGCGTGTATCGGATATGTACAGACCCTTCTATATCTCCAAGACAGGGAATCGAGGAGAGGATGGAGAGGGGCGGTACGGGGACGTGGAGCACAGACAGCGTATTAGGAGGTTCAGATCGGAGCGAAAGCCTTCAACGTTCATACCTCGTTGCACGTTCAAAGTCCAAGATACCATTCTTCCGCCTCCGATCGCTTTGCAGGCGATCGGTACGATCAGCGAGGCGAGAAGAAGCCCGGGTCCACTCCTCGAATTTATGAAAATCGTCGTGCCCGTGCACCGGGAACATCGTATTCACGTGATCGGATGGCTTGAGTAAAACTCTGAGCAGAAAATTCCGAAACGGAATGTCAGCGGAGATATGTGAGGAGAAATATCGTCGAGTTCCACTCTATCCCCGCTCAGATGAATCTTGCTGCGACGACGGGAGCTTGTCCTCGAACGGCAGGAAAAATTAAGGACCAGTGTTGCTACGATTGGTCGACAATCGAACTCGGAACGAAGTTCGTGATCACGTCTAATTTGTCCCTTCCAACCCCTGGGCCCGATTTCTGAGTCTCCCATCCTCGCAGTCTGGCCGGAGCTATGATTGTGGAATGCAACTGTATGCGGATTGCGCTGTCGTCTGGCTTAATTGCGTCTTACACTCTCATATAATCATCATTGATTGAATGAGGCTCGACTGGGGGCCGTAGGCAGCTCGACTGGACAGCGGTGCGATAATTGACGAGACTACTGGATTGTTCTCCTCAAGCAGGTGTCGAAAACTGTCTGTCCGTGATATGGTTATCTCCGGCGACCGCTTCAGGGCTTGCTCAAGTCGACGACTGTAATAGAGAGGATCTCGCAGATATTTGGTGTTTGAGAATTTATTCTTCGTTCGTACAAAAAATAAACCCCTTCCTCTCCCATGGGCCCGCTAACTGGACTAGAATCGGCCTTCGCTTCAAAAAATCATTTTTCTGACGTTCAGATCGATTTTGCCTCCGAGTCGATCAATTCCAATCCGATCGAGATGAGCATGAATTTTCAGCGTCAGATCCCGAAGAAGCCTCTCCCGTAACCTCCATATCCCCCGTAGCCGCCGTATCCACCGTATCCACCGTAGCCGCCGTAACGTCCGTAGTTCGTGTAGTAGCTGGCGCGAGAGTAGTAGAACGGATCATACATCCTAGCCAAGCGACGGTAGTAGAGGGGACGGAACAAGTTGTAGCCGGAATAACCGAACCCGTCACTTTGTGCCAAAATGCCGAGAACACACAAGGCCAGCACCGCCAGCAGAAACTAAAATGGATAGTTGAACATTAGCATTCACAGAGTTTTAGTCCATTCTCCGATCGACACCGAACTCGAAGACTTGTGGATGGCCGGAGAATCTCTCCGAAAGCACTCGATCCCTCACACGGGTCTGCTACCTGAGTCGTCGATCTCATGTCTGCTCGTCACTCTCCGTCGGTGAGACGGTCGGAACGTTTGGGTGTTTGCTTCTTTCCAGCACGGACTTTCGCTAAATGCCTTTCCCTTCAGGAGCTGTGGATCTTATAGAGGCACCAGCTGTGGAGGCGGCAGGCACCCGCAGTGAAAGCTTCAGGTTGCGCGGACCCTATTAGGTTCGGTGAGGCAACGGGACTCCGATCCGATGTTCGATCATTGGGCGGACTCGATCAATAGTCCCCTTCGTTCTCCATTCCGTATCGCTCTTGATTCGAAACTCTCGCGGGTGGTGGGAACCAGCACCTGAAATCCGTAGCCGCAGAACAACGATGAGTCGCGAAATTCGGGAGAAACAGAAGACCGAGCACCTTGTGAAGGCTAGGGACGACGGAATTCCCACAACTCGCCTACTTTGCAAATAGACCATCATCGTTTCGTCACAACCCGTCGATACCGAGGCAAACGGTGTGCCGAATGTTTTCTTTTCCAAAAACGTCACCATCACATTCTCAACTGTTGAAGCCGGCTGCCGCAGATTTCGGAGCTGCTCCTGCTGCTCAAAACTGGGCCTACGCTTCGAGTGGTTCTGAAAAGTCATACGGTCGCGTCACTTTCCACGGCGAACGTAGGCCGAACTACAGTTCCACGTTGAGCTCCCTCTTTGGCTTCCGATTCGGAAACTACGGGAATAGGCGAACTCTCTCTGCGGGAGCGCGAAATCGCAGAGTCCCAGGATCCGAGACGATGTTCCGGGTGATGATTTGTGGGATACGCAGATAAGCAGTGCGGCTGGTTCGTGGAGGTGGAGAAATTTCCGGAAGTCCGTCAGATCGACTCGAATAGAATGAAACGAGTCATTCGCTTCATCAAACGAAGTTCTAGCAAGCCAGGTTAGGCGGCGAAGCAGGATGCGTCATCTTGAGCGTGTCATTGTTATATCATCTAATGAGCGGCAAGCACGTCAGCCCCCGCAGAGACGCCCGATGCTCAGTAGTTCAAGGTTAGCCTGACGCAACTTGCCCTCTGGAGTCTCTCGATGGGGAGTTGCGAGGCCTTCCGGAGCTCTACAGCGATTTCCGCGAATTCCCATTCATCAGCCGGGAATCCGTTAAATTAGAGGATACGTGTTTCGAGGCTACGGTATGACCTCATATCGAATCGGACGCTCAGCTGTTTACATCCTCCAGCATAATCCGCCAGCACTCATACCTACAGCGCTCGTGAACACTAAACGGCGGGTATTCAAAGCTATAAAGGGAACGAGCGCGACAAGAGAGTGATATACCGAGCGAGTTGGCTGTTCATTCAAAAGCCCTACACCGATGATGCTCACCACTATCGGGAAGTGGGCGCCCCCGACAACCCGCTCAGTGGGCATCATCAGCCCCGACTCTCTTTTTCTTTCTCTCTCATAGCAGCGGCTCTCGTTAAAAGACTTGCTCCGCCGTACTGGAGCGGCTTTGGGCTAAGTATAAACAAACACGAAACGCCTCAGTGCTTCCCTTCGAAAAAGGGGCAAGGGGCGCTCACGTCCGCTTGATGGGGTGGCGGCGGCAGGCGGTGGGCATGAGGGGCCTTCCCTGATAACACCCAGCTAGTCTGCCTGCCGGCAACCCACCCCACCAACCGGCGAGGCAGACAGACCCAGAGTCGCTTGCCCTCGACGTCTGCGATCGAGGACCGCCAAAATCGCTTCCAGCAGCAAGCCACGACTGCAAAGAAGCGCCATCGGATAGCGCAGACAGACAGGCAGCTAATTTTAGCTAAGTCTGGCTGGCAAACCTCATCCCTGAAAGGGGAAAAACTTTTGTCCCGCCCGACCTGGCAATCAGTGTTCCAATTTTTACGCAGTGTCAAAGGGAGATGGGTAGAGTCCGACGACCGAGAGAGCGCTGGTTACGATAAAAATGCTGCCGTTCCGAGTGAGCCGCTCGATGGCACGCGCACGCAGACGTCCGACCCCAGCAACCCGGATGCATATAGCTTGAGGTGTTCGTCCAAGGGGTTTGAGCCCACTATAAGTTGGTAATTGGCGAGCATCGAGCGATCGAAGGTTGCCCCGGCAAAGCATCGAACGTTCACTCATTGTCAGTCCGACAGAAGTTCGTCTCGATGACGACCAGGATCTGCGTATCTAATGGGAACGAGCTCGCAGATCGGGAATAATGCGAAGAAAGGTTCGGCCGGTTCGCGGCCGAGTCCAAAACGGAATCGAATGGCAGACGTTCCGATTCGACTTCGTTCCATCCCGGCCGACTCGCTCGATAGCTGCGGACAACGAGGAAGCAAGAGCGCCGTTTGATCGTTTGGTCGAGAGGGAACAATAATTCTTCTTTTAATTCACTGTGCTATCTCAGTGGCCCATTCAGTCGTTTTCGGAACGAACACGAAGCTCCGTGTAGGTCTGCTCTCGAGTTCGTTTGGCTGCTTCTGTCCAATTAATCAGAGCTGCTTCTCAGTCCTCGTCGTGATGTGTGTGCGCCTGTGTGACCTCCTCGTTCCTTCCATGCGAATCCCGAGCCCTCGGGAATTCGCCGACTCTCGAAGGGCCCTGCTCCGTGTAAATGAATAACCCCAATACGTTCCGGCTGGTTTGATTCGAACGTTTTTGCTTCAGTGGGAGATCCTCGCAGGAGATCCTCAGCTCAATGAGCGCATCTGCTTTATGAATCCTCCTCTCTCACAGTCTGCTAGGTATCAGTGGCTCTCCGTGGCCACTTACCGTGATGCGCTGGTTGCAAACACCTTGCGAAGGGCCCGATTTGCCGCGATGGGCTCGACGCGATTCCTTATATCTCTGTCGTGGACAAAATTTTTCGAGAAGATAATTCTCACTCGGATCTTGTTCCTGAATCTGGGGCTTGACTTGCTAAGAGCAGCGCTTGAACTGGTTTCAGATCATTTACCCAATGCAGAGTTGAAGCCGGAGGGAGAAGTCCGGAGGAAACGGTGGTCAGCAGACGCCAAGGGATCCCTGCTGAGGAATCCCGGGGTGAGCGTTTATGAACCCCGTCCATTCGCCTATTGTGAGGCGGACGCGGAATGACACATATAGCTCTTTCGTGCCCTTCAAGAAAATTCCCTACGCTTGCCGTTTATTTTTATTATATATTAAACTTCATCATTATTATTTGAATATGAAATTTCATCATGCTTATGATTCGCTCCTACAGCAGAAGCCCCCTCCCCCTGCGGGTATATCGCTCGCTCAGAACTCGGCGGAACAGCAGGTTCGACGAACACACGAACACCTATTTTCCGCTGGCCGTCATGTTGAACGGCCAGGGTTTTTCCCGCGAAATCAACATTGTGCACTTGAATGTCGGAGGCGCCATCTCCGGACAAATTTGTATCCGACCGTACAACGAATGCTACGTGAGAGCCATGGGCGGGCGGACACGTTCGCGCAGTTTCAGCCCCACGCACGCACGTCGGCAATACAGAGGCAAGACGTTACGGGAGAGGATGCTGTAAACCTCAAGCATCACAACTTGTGATATGATGACCCTCGCGAGAAGCTCCGAGCTAAGATCAAACGTTTCCTAGTGATTCTTCCCCCAATTATTTCTTACGTATCGCGCAGGAACTAATTCGCGTTTCGTTGAACGTGAGCGGACGAAGTGCAATTCCGTGGAGAACCGATTATCATTTATCGGGCATGCCTTCCGTGTGGATCTCGTGGTTCCCGTATCAAAGGGCTAAGATTTTCACATCAGCCTCATCCAAATTCCATACGAAATCTCCGGAGCTCCATCATCGGTATCAAAGATCCGCATCGCCGACTGAGGGGATCTACATACACACATTGTCATCAAAGTTCATTTGACGCTGAGCAGATCCGCGTGAAATCTTGGAGAGCAGATCTGCCGTCATCCGGGACGCGTACGTTCCGTGAAACAACGCAGACATAGTACGTCAGAGCGGAGCTTGACCGCAGAAGCTCAGAAACCGCTCCACGGCGAATAGGCTCCTGCCCGGGTCTGGCTCAAAATATTCCACTGTACGCAGTGGGCCGATCTCCGCGCGAGCACCCCTCGTTCTATTGTCGGGAACGATTCTTCCGATCCAAGGACTCCGGAAGAGGAGCCAACCGCTTTCCGGGATCGACCAAGCTCGATTGCGACGTGGGGCGAATTCTTTCTTGGGTCAGAAGATACTGGGTCAGACAGCAACGCTTCTCAGCTAGCCTCTTTGTCTGAGTTGTCGGCTGAATTCTTTTCAGCTGGATTACCACCTCATTAAGAGTGGATCAGTCCTCGTGAGCTAGAGGCTCGAGGAGATGGACCTGTGATTGCAGTGGTGGGCCACCTCCGCCGCGGATCACTGTTCACTGCTTCGAGGGCAACGAAGAACCGAAACCTCCGACTGGGATCCCTCGATAGTCCATATCCAAGAGTTTGCGATCCGAATTTCGAGATTCCTAAAATATGATTTGGCGAACGGGAAAGGTCCCTGGCCCGAGGCGGAACTCTTCCTTACTGTGTTTTCGTGCGTCTGCGCGAACTTCTATCTCGTCCGTCTCCGGATTTTCCCGAGTCTCGCGCTAGTCTTTCGGGATATCAGCCCGGACTCTCCGAGATTCCCGCACGGTCTCGAGGGCTCATCCTTAAGGAAAGATCGAGTTCCTCGCGAAAGTGTTTCTTTTTTTCTCGCTCTCGATGGAAAGGAAACGCTTCCGCTGCATGACGCTCGCACATGACAAATGCACCGGGCACAACTCGCGAACGAACGACTACGAAGTAAATCAACGTAGGAGAAGCAATCCATCACATTGCTCGCTGCTATTCTGATGGCGTAAGAAGCCCGCGATAGACTTTTGAAATTTGAATGTAGAGACGCTACCGCCACCACCGACGCTACGCCTGCTCTACAGCGAAGAAGAAACAGGGTCGCTCGGCGGTGGTAGACTGACTGGTCGAGGAGTACATTTTGGAAATTGCATTTCGCTCGCGAAAAGGCCACCGACGAACGAACGCTCGGGCATGGTTCGCCAACGCTCTGAGCGAGGGCCGACGGCGAACCGACGGACGGATGGATGGATGGAGGGAAAAGGGCTAATGTACTTCTTGCATTGAAAACGTCAGAGTAAATACCTCGTCCCAAACAACGCAATGGCGTGAAGTTGGAAGAGTTCCCGAGCTTTCTCCCCCTTCTTTCGGACAAACGAGGGGCCCCGAACCAGAGCTTCGACGAAATTCGGTCGATGAAAGATCCCAAGCTTTTCATGCCGGGAAGTTCCACTACCGAGTCAGTCGCCCGAGAAATGTCAAAAATCCGAAGTGTATCGACGGTGTTCCGCGGAGGAAGAATGTCCTCGAATCTCTGACGAGCGATGTTCTTCTCTGCGCGGACGACTGTCGTGACTTCCGCCGGTCGAATACTTTAACTTGAATGTGTCTCGACTCTTGGCGCTGTCCGAGAGTGGAAATATTCTCTCTCGCTCGACTTCGATGAATCGGAACTACACTCACCGATTTCTTGCGAGATACTCCCCAATGAACGTCTCGGCTCCGGAATATTTCCCCTTCGCTACGGATTCAAACGTCAAAGTCGGAGTGGAACACGTTGTACGGGCAGCACGTAATGAAAAAAGAGCTTATGGATGATTTATGCACCCCTCATGCGAGCGTCCGTCGGCCAGTTGAAAGGGTCTGGAACCGAACGAAACCGCACAGTTTGATTCTCGAAACGACGGGTTGTAACGCCAACGTGATGGAAATCCTCTGAAAAACCCCGGACACTCAACAAACAGCCGAAGTCCTGCTGTTCTTACGCTCTGCTCGCCTTCGCGCCACGCAGAATGGGTAGGTATGACCGGGCTATTGGTATGGAAAGTCTGTTCCGGGGAGTTGAATCAGTTTTCGCGGGAGAAAAATATCAGTCGCATCACCGGGCGGGCCAGCTTTCTCCCGCGCGATTGGAAGAGCGAGAGCCATCGACGGCAAGCCCAGTCTCATGAAGATAATCAAGCACGAGTTCTGTAGTACCGACCCAGCCGATCGGAATCCATCGGACCTCAGATTTCCGTGCTCGAAAGTACGAACTCGGCCGAAGAATTCATAGGTTGTTTCTGTTTTCGCTCGAATGTCTGAGCTCCGCCCGATTCTTACGGAAGAATGCCGATGCCCTCCCACTCCGATGCTCCCGTACGCTCCCTCGCCTCTTCGAAATGCGCCTGAATTCTTCCCTCAGCCAATTCTAGCAGTCGAGATATCCGAATATTCCAAATCCTGGCACACTGGTGGGAGCAAGGATGATACTCCGCCTGTATCGTCGATCTCGATTCGTTTCCGAAGCGGGGAAGCTTTTTTTTAGGTCTCTGTATAGTTCAGTGATCCAACAGCTGGACCCCGAACGCTCTCCCGGCGGACTGAAGTTGGAAATCCCAGGGCGGCCGATCGGGTGGTTGGATAGCTGCACCATTTGTTGTTCTCTTGCCGTTCGGGTCACGTCGGAGTCTGTCCCAGTGGAACCGCAGATCAAGCGCCAAGCGGCAAAGTGGATAAGCGTACTTCACGACCAATCCTTAGCGAAAGTCGCATTTGATTTAGCTAAATCATCTTGCGCCCATGCTCGGCTTCCTCCTCTCCTCAGCACTTCCAAATAAAGACGAATTCTCTACACGTTCGTGGCGCCTGCCAAAACAAAAGCTACTGTTTCCGCGGTGTTTTGTCCCCTGGCACATCTGGATGGTCGCGCCTTCGTTCATGAGTTGAGGAAATCTATGGGTGTTCCTTCCTCGAAGCACCGCGCATCTTCGACGTGGATATATTCGTTTTCTCCCCCATGCACTCTTTCACTAGGTTCGGTGAACTTACAAAATTTTCCATGGACGTACCCCACGAGGAGGCCGCCATCCGCATCGGACAGAGATATCGGACAGACTTCATTCTAGGAAGCCTCCACGGAATGGGGAGAGATATCCAACAGGGTGGAGAGTACCGTGACGGAGTACAAGTCAATCACAATAAAATTGATGACGCATTCAGAAAGTTGCCAGCGGGGAAAGTCGGTGGATTCATTAGCTTCACGTAGCATCCATTCCCAGGCGGGTCCGTCTCTTCCTCTTGCAATTGCGGGGCCTCGCGGCTCGGTCGGATCCATTTTTCAATCTAATCCCTCCACGTTGTTCGGAAGGTAAGACCAACCACTGGATGTGTCAACTTTGCTAAATTTCTGCTCTCATTAGAATTATTATCCATCGAAATTCTGACCGTGAAGCTCTTTTCTCTCCATCAGCCACGGTCCCGCAGATTTTGTCGGGTAGATGGGATCGTTACAACAGCCGTCCCGATAGATCACCTGTTCCACGGCTTGTACGAGTCAATGATTCCATCTAAATGGTAGATATTCTCTCCTTCCGGTCATGAACATTTTCTGCCCGCCATTGTGAACTTGTTCTCGCACGCATCAGGCCTTGAGGTTAAACAGGTCGATCTCTTGATCGGATTTCCATTGTGTTTACACGAAAACCATCGATCTCGATTGTGTTTCGAGTTTCCAGTCTGGCTTCTCTCCCCCAAGTTTGAGAGAGCGAAACTTCGATCAGAGTTGTTATAAATTACGATCTGGATGAGGAGTTCTCTATTGTTCCGCAGGGCTTTGGAAACTTCGGACTTCCCTGGATATGCATCGCTTGATTCTGATTGGATTCCTCGCCGGAGCTGTCATCGCTGCCGAGCCGAACGCAGGTTTGGATTCTGCTTGGTCTTCGAAGCGTCGAGATCGAGGTCCTGGAGGAGGGAAAAATCATAAAGAAAGACTTTCTTCTTCCAGCTCGAGAATGGTTTCTCATGGTTGCGAAAGAACAAGGAATGTCCGATAGGGGAGCAGAGGGGGTAAGTTCTTGATGCTTGCGAGATCAATTAGCGCATCCTCATTGGGATGTGATACTGTTCCGGTCATGATGAGACCCAAGTGATGATTTTTGCTGTTACCTGACGCTGATGCTAATGTTTGTCACTCAGCTGTTGAAGATCATCGAACAAATTGTAAGTGAGCCTGTATCGAAGTTCAACACCTTTCGAAGCTGATTCTCCCCTATAGCATGCCCATGCGAAGAGTTGCCCTCGAATTAATTTTCGCGGTACGTTGCCGACTCTGGTTCTCACTCCTGAATTTCCATTCTCCAACAGGACACCGAGGGTTTCTCGGCAGATAATATGCCCTCGGTCCCGGAAGTGGATGCTCTAGTCGCCAAGCTCCGCCCTCAAATCGTGGAGAAAGCGGTAAGCAATACGGGGTCCCATCCGCATCCGATCGATCGATGCTCTTGATTCCGCTCCGGAGATACTTTGTATATCGCCAGTTTTCCCAAGTTCGTCCACTCATACGTGATAGATGGTAAAATTCAATTTGGGACAGCTTATCGAGGCGGAGTATTTGACTTTGCAGACGGCGATGATGTGTAAGAAGGACGGTCCCAGGGTTCCAGCGGTGCTGGATATTATGCATCAGAGAGCGGTGGAATACATGGAGAGTCAAAAGACAAAATAAAAATGTCTTCAACGGATTCCGATTTCTTCACGAAATTCCTGAGTGTTCGCTGTGGCATTCCTCCTGATGATCAAGCCGGATCCCTGTCGTGTCTGCCCGCTTCGATTTGACGGGAAGGTCTATGAGGAATTGTCGCGGATTCTTCGTATCCGTGAACCCTGGATTTTGTCCTCGGTTCATAGTTCCACCAAGTGCGAGGGAATCCGACGCAGAATGAGAATGGATGGGCGAGACATCCGTTTTAAAGGGTAAATGAGAAAGCAAATTTTAAAGTGTTTCGGTCGACTCCGGCGATTTTGTGCTTGCTGCGTGCGTCGGTCTTAAACCTCTCCCGGCATCCCGGCTCCGCGGCCGTCGTCGTCATTTCAGAGGAGCTCTCGGAATTCCCGCCTAGCCCGCTGACAACCTCACAAGGGCCCAGATTGATGGGGGCGAAGAGTGAAGGCCTTTGTGTGCCAGCGGCACCCACCGAGGCCACAACGGGGCCTCAATACCACCCCCCCCCGTTCGCCCGTACCGTTCGCCCCTCTTTCACAAAGTAAAAGATTGCCAAGTCGACTTGCTCGTCGAGCGGCTGCGTAAGGCACAGTGCGTTCACCGGCTCCTGATGGATCGCCCACTTGCGCCGACGACCACAAGCATACATTGTTAGTCTGAGGAAACCTTCAGTCAGATGAGCGTCAATATATGTAGCTGACATTATTCTAGTCAGCTCTGCCGCCGATGCCGCCGTCGCCCCGAGCCGCGAAGCCGAATGTTCCTCGAGGAGATCTCCACTAGAAGGCAAGCAAGCAGGCAGGCCGGCCGGCCGGCTGGTCGACAGGCAAGCGGGTGGGCTTGTCGCTTGTCTTGTCCGTCGAGGGTGAAACAAAGCCAGCACCGTGGGCTTCGATCGTGTCGTTTTCCGCTTGCCACCAAAACCGCAACGTGATCCGCATCAGATGACGAACAATATCCGCTGTACAATATCCGCGACATTCGCAGGAGACGGGCAACGAAGAGAAACTGGGCGCGCACCCGCGATATAAAAAGAGAGAAGATATGAAATGACTCGACGACGGCTGGATCCACTTTCCGCGGTTGAGCTTCCAGCGCGAAAACCGGCCGAGTCCCATATTACTCTCACTCAGTCGGCCGCGACGTCGATGTGCGCGACGTGATACCACTGTCGAACAGTGAATGATGATAAGGGAGTCGGAACCCTGCCAAGGAATACAGCGACGCATCCAAGACTTATGACGAAGCGACCTGCGTCACGGAACTTGATGTTTGTTCGTTTCCTCCGCCAATCGCGACTTCCCCCAGTACCGGAGTCGCTCGGAGTCGTATCCGGATAAACTTTCCCGGGCCTCGTTCAACGAGATCTCAATCGAGAAGTCTGATCTCTGCCCGGACCTTGCGTTTCAGTCAGAGAGAGAGATAACCCGCCCCAAGTTCATCCAATACAACTCAATGCGGGAAGGCTTTGCTGTGAGATAGGCGTACGTAAGGAAGAGTGATGGAGGTGTGTGAAGCGTCCTCGTCGACACTCCTCTTCGTTCCATTAATATTGTCCAGGGACGACAGTGCAGTTATCAGAAAAGCTTCATTTGCGCCTCCGACCGGCGGCGGGCGGAAGGGAGGAAAAAACTAGCTCAGTCAGAGAAAAACTCGGATAGAAAAGCCCGCTAATGGCAGTTGGCGATCGGGGTGGGGTGTGGATGGCTACTACGAGACAGAATCATTCCGTTCCGCCCGTTCTACGGCAGGGCCGTGCGGCCTGTTGCGGGAGAACGTCACGAACGATGGACAGATCCAAGCCTCCTCCATCGTCTGAAATGAGTTTTTACGAATTCGGAGGCTCTATTCAAAGTTCGGAGCAGGATTGACGGAAGTCTCCGCCAATAGGAGCGGAGGGCTCAAATCTCGAGATTGGCGCTGGCTGGATGACTTCGCTCTACTCAGAGGACGGATGGGAAAAGAGTTTGCGTTTTATCACGCACGGATAGGAACCGAGGTCGTTATTCCGAGTCGAGGTCACGCGGAGAATGTTTCCACGAGCGGCGTTATTTTTTGGGTCTTTTTCCCAGTTGGAACTTCCGACAGAGGCCTGGATCATCAGCGGAGAGAGACATACGCTCGAGGTCGTTTGCAGTCGCTAGAAACCGAGTGCCCGAACCTCCCGTGGTTCTCCGGGCAGATCTCTCTAGGACCCTAGGGTGTAGCGGAACGCGCGCACGACCCTGAACGCTGATCATCATGTCGAGTCTATCGAATGTGGCATGGAATTCTGGATGCGAATTTTCGCATTCGAGTACGAGCTACGTGATAATGATTGGAAGGGTTGCCGTCTTAGAGCGCATTCGTGTCTCTCTGTGAGTTGGGCGAGAGCTCCGAGCCTTCAGAACTTCGTCAGCGGTCTGTATCGAGCACCTCTTGTTTTGCAACTGTAATCTAATCAGCGTTTCTCCTTGTGGTTGCGTGACGGAGTATTTACAGTGATCTCGGAGCCAGTCAGCGAGCCAGCTGGCAGGCAGGCAGGCTGGGGCAAACAGCTGGGCAAGCTTGGCGAACAAACGGGCCAGTCAGCCACAAGTGAAGCTCCTACGCAACTAATTAGATTTAGTGTTCTAGGGGCAGACTTCTTTTATAGCTGAGGGCAATGCTGCTCGCCGAAGAGCAAACCTTTGAGCGCCAAGACGCTTAGTATTGATAACTGCGACGTGCAAACAGCGATCCTCGAAGCCACCCCAGAGGGAATTCCGCCTCAACCCTTCGCGCCGTGAAAGTGACCGAGAATCCCTTCCGAAGTCCGACATTCTACTTCTGCTTCGCTCAACGATTCCGAGATACGATGATGCGGTGATGGGAACGAGGCTAGCAAATGATTTCTACTGGCGTTCTAACCTCACGGGACGGAACAGGTCTCGTGGCATCGAGCTTAAAATTCCTGTATGTCTTGCCCGAGGCGATTTTATTCATGCAAAACTAACGTCCTGGCCAGCCCCGACGGAGAGAAAAAGCGGCGAGACGAATCGCTACTCGCGGCTCTTTTCTGCCGATATTTGAGTGGCGTCGAACAGACGTCGGCGGAGGGCATGGGTGAAGCCGCTCGAGCGAGAGCCCGATCGATTGAAACAAACTTCAGCGTAACCAAAGAGTTTCTTCCTCTCATCACAAAGTCATCGGGAGCACTCGCCGTGAAATGAGTCCTTGATTGCATTCTTCGGCGTCGAAGCCCGCTCCGAATGCTTATTCTACAACAGAGCGATGTTGGCACAGAACAAAGTGGGAGAGATTTCGCTTAGCTCATCCTAGTTCAGAGTGTCATTGCTTGACTTTAGCGCAGAAGTGGAGCGAGCGGAGAATGGAATTGGTCCCTGTCTCGCAGTTTCGTCGTGTTATGGGTAGTGCGCAGCTGCTTTCCATTTACATACTCCGCAAAACTACGGTGCGCACAACAGGTTTCGGAAATGAAGCACTCCACCCTCCGATGACGGATTCATCTGTGCCCTCGTGCGCTCACGTTGCGATCGTCCCGTCCGACAACGTCCTCAATGAACTCAACATTTGTACCATCATTCCATATGTATGACGATTCTCGCTGTCACAACACAGCAAAGCTCTATGCGTAGCCTCGACGCTGCTGATTGGCCGAGGAAATTCGCATGAGGAAAGTCGATGCGGATTGAGGAAACCTTCAAGGAGCAAGACTCTAGCGCATAAATCAGTATTGGGAAGAGCTCGAGTTACTTTCTGTACCGGATCCGAATTCAGAGACACCAGCGGACCCCGCAGACATTTGCGTCTCTCAGCACTTTGTTGGACCCGAGTTCCAATTTCTTCCACGTCCATGCTCGGAAGTCGACCTTCGTCCGAGCGGTCACGGTCGCGCTCTGCCGCCCGGTCCAAAGGCGAAATGTCAATCTCTTCGCGATCTGAATGAAAATAGGAAACCTGAAAATAGGCATGAGCTCCTCGACGGCTACTCTTCCTTCCTCCGATCATTTCGCCTCTCCCGCTTTTCCGGATCAGTGGACCCCGAGAGGAACCTGTGTGCTGAAATGGAATCGTGTTCCATCTACTGCCTGGGATCGTTTCGGTGGAGCTCCTGCGAAACTGAGAATGCGATACTTGCTCACTCCGATAGATTGTCTGGAGCCCAGACTGTCAAGTTGGGAGCTCATTCCCGAGGTTTCCGAGACTGTATCTGATCTTCTTCCATTTCTCGTCGCTCATCGTTCCGTCGCAAAGGTCTCGCCGATTTTCCGGAAGACCGGTTCCCTCGTCTCGAATCGGGCTCCACAGACCAAGCAGAGAGAAAGTTCTTCCGCAGAGAGCTCGAGGGCGACTTTCGTTAAGGTGGGCAAGGATATGGCTGCGTTGAGCGTTCCTCATGTGTTTTTCCTCACTCGAAAACCCGGTCCCTCTCTTCCCATACTGTCGATGGAAGCGGCGGAAGCTTTTAGCCGTGAAGTCGATTAGTTGTTGGTGGAGGACGACGACGGATCATTAGAGCTGTAGAGTCCTCGCTCCCTCGGCGTTTCCGTCGTACCCAGAGGCGCTGAGTTGCAGCCAGCCAAATGAAGCGGAAGACGACAGCAGGTGTTGATAGCAGCGCGTGAGTTTGAATACTCGAGGCGCAGATGCTCGCAACTAGCTTCAAAATCGGTGCTCCCTACTGTCCGGGCTACCTTTGCGACACGTCGAGATCTGCTCGGATGATCTTTCGGACGCCCGAGAGTGAGGGTCCATAGATTGGGTCCCTTGGATCTCGGATGAAAAGAGGTACTCCTGAAACTCTCCGGCGAGAATGGGTGATCAGAATTAAAAGAATATCGGCGGCGAGAATCAGATAGAGGATCCTGGCGTTCATGAGCATATATGTATGTATGTACGTGCCAACACTCGCTGCGAGCTACGCGGACAAAGAGCTCGGGTTGGAGGCGCACCGGGACCAACACGCTCATTTCCGCTTCCATTCTATACGACAACGACAACAACACGCCGGATGTTCAGCCAGTGATTCGGGAACTTACTCGGATCCTGAACAGCT